GATAGAGAAGACAAAGAGGCAGAGAAAACTGATGATCAAATCTGGAAGAAGATACAAAGAGAAAAAGATTGGATCAGAAAGAAAGATAAGACGATAACGAGGAAGAAATAGAGAATGAAAAGGAGAAATAAGTAGAAAGAAAGTAGAAAAAGAAAGAAAGCAATAGAAAAAAAAGAGAGGAAATGAGGAAAAGAAAAGTGCATGAGGGAAAAGGAGAAAAAGTAAAAAAGTGTGAAGAAGAGAATAAAAAGGAGAGATAAAGGAGAGTAAGCGAGAAAGATAGAAAAAAAAAGAGAAAGAGAGGAAAAGGAGAAAAGAAAGCAATGAGAAAGAAAAGGTGAGAGCTACGAAGAGCAACTGAGAGTTTGAGAAGAGCGAGCGAGAAGCAGAACGAGAAAAAGAGAGAGAAATACAGAATAGTAGAGGCTGGGCAAGGGAGAGAGAAAGAGAGGTGGCACGCGCAATGCGGGTATTGATTCACGGAGGCGGCAGCCGGCAGCCAGCCTGAAACACACGACCGTACCGAGTCGACTCGACTCCACGACTCGATTCACCGTCGAGACAAGGAAAGAATCACAAGCCAGCAAGAAGAGAGAGAGAGAGAGAGAGAGAGAGAGAGAGAGAGAGAGAGAGAGAGACCACATTGTCGATCGGTTTGACTTCACAAATCGTTCATCGTTAGAACCGTTCTGAATATCTTTAAGAAATCCACTGTCGATTCCGATATCGAGAGCTCGCACGAGCCGAACAGTACAGAATCTCCTTAAGAAACATCTTTGCCCAAGTTTTTCAATATTTATTGATATTAAGAGGATACATTGTATGTAAATAAATTTGTCATAAGTTTATCAAAATATCCTCACAAAATGTTATTACAGCAATTTTGAGAAATATATGATAAGATTAGCACATATTGCTTGAAGCAACTTCGCTCTAAATCTAAATCCTTCAATGTTTAAAAACCTAACGAGAGAAAGTAACATCGCAATTTAGCAGACATAATATATGTCAACGAAAATTTATATAAAGTATATAAATTGTTTCCATTTATTTCCATTTTAATTTTATAGGACAACATTCTTTAAGAGAGAAAATTTACAGTAGATTCCCTCAAGCATATGTTCGCTTCTTTAAATTGGAAAACAGTCCCTATATGCTACTGCAGGCGCATAATTACGCGAACTGTAGCGGTGCAAAAATCGAGAAAAGTAGCGTGTTTGAAAGCGCATGGGAGTAGATCCGGTTTCAGGGTTAGGACCGATCAGGGTTAGATGGTATCGGCTGGGGCTCTTGCATGCGCTTAACATGGCTGGGGATACCCCGGCAATGCGTAGGATTGGCCCGCTGCCGCTCCCACGAGCCATGCGAGCACTAATAAACGTATGCTCGGCTTGGCGTACAGTATAAAATATGCTTGATGTAGATATAGATATAACGTAAGAAAATATTTGTAATATACACAAAGGGTAGAAACGCTGCTGTACACTGTTCGTAATATCCTGAAAATATTGTTTTGTTTTAAGATTTTCTTTTCTAGTTTTTGAATACATTATTCTATAAAATTTAGAATTAAAAGAGAATCGAAAAAAGATTTTTATCGTGTCTATGTAAACGATCTTTTGTCTTAGATAAAAAATTAAAACTGTTTTCTACAGTACAAAGAAAATTCAGTTTTGTTGTTCTTAATAATAAGATTTAATATTAAATGAAGTTTGACACTTTTGAATAATTTACGATTTATGAAGTTTCTAATGGGACTTTGCTGCTATAAATGAAAATTTCATTGAAATTTGTACTGATATTTCTGATGTATTCACGAAAGACAAGATTTTGACGAAGTTCACTTTCTAAACTTTTATAAAACTTATTATAAAACGGAGTAAATACTAAACAAATAGATAAACATATTGCACGATTGGCATTCCTTATTTGTTTAATAATAAATCTAATATAAATATATATATATTATATTTTATTATATTTAACTTTCATATTCTTTTGAAGCATTGAAAAACTATTAATTGCACAATAATAAAATTGATATTACACCCAAAAATAAAAACAATATTTACATATTCGCATGCAATTTAAAATATTTTTCTTTTTAGGCCAACATTGTCTATAATATGACCGGACGCGAGCATTCGAAGCAGCATCGAATTCGCGTTCGTTAATAAAATTCGGGGCATCAATCCACCGACGAAGACAACACGGAATTGAGCGTGATAAATAAAGGAGGGTGCTCGGATCGGCGGCGCGGCGCTGGGATAGATACGTCCCTTAATAGCAAAGGTCGAAAACCTTGTCGAGTTGACTCGCGGGATAGCGCGCAGACCTACTTCCACGTAACGTCGATTCCTTTTATTGATTCTATTTTTGCGAGGAGCCGAGAGAAAGAAAGTGAGGGAGAGAATAAAAGAGATAAAGAACGCTCAACACCACGATCGCCGGTCATATCGCGTCATTTCCGTGCGTTACGCGATTTGGTCATCCATCGAAAAATGATAACACTCAAAATTGGGACGTTATCCAGATTACCCGGATGCTACACGAAACGTTAATAATAAAATACTCGTTTTGAAAAATGGAACGGTTATTTTTACACGATATTGCCTAGAAAATACAAAAAATGGACGTCATTATTAATTAATCGAGAATCGATATTCGGTAATCCATTTCCAACAGGAATATTATACTAGTCAAGTGGTTGATACGATAATGCTTCAGGCAATTACGTGAGCGTATATCATTTTTCTAATGGGATATCATCTTAGGAAACAATACTATATAGTAAATATCACGAGATTGTATTGAACTACAATATCGCAACCAAGAAAGACGAAAAACGATGCAAATGCCATTAAGCACTGATTATGATTAATATTAAATAATTACTACTTTGGATAAAAGAGGTAATCTGTTAAAATAAAATTGCTGTAAATTTTTAATAATAAATCAAATTAGGATTTGGTATTCATAAGAGCCTATAAGAAGATCGATGTGCTCGTTTCGGAAATAGAAGACATTCGTCGATTTGAAAAGTGCTTTAAAGAGAAAATGTGAGGAAAGTACGAAATAATCGGTCGCGGAAATGATCGGTGGACAGAGAAAGAGATCGTAATTAGATTCGCGCTGGTGAACGGCCGACGACGGCGCGCGTTTCTGGAAATAGAAAGTAACGACCGAACAATCGAAGGCTACAATCGATAGCCTGTAAAGCCGGGCGGACTAGCGACACGAGAGGTGTACAGACACCTCGCTACATTAGACTTTAATTCGGCCGCAGTAGTGCATGACCCGGTATGGTCAGACGCAGCCCTCGTCTGGCACCATCTCCGCGACGCGACCGAAGGCTCAGGTTATCGTTGGAGGATAATTTAGCGGATAAATTGGCCGGTTTTTCGTAAAAAAAGATGAGTAAAAGGGTCATCATAATATCCATGTGATTATTATTACTGTATTATAATTATTATAATAAAATCACAATCATATGAGCACCTGCTCATATAGATTATGTCGATTAATATATTTTTTGTATTTTCTGTTTTCCTACTTTTTACATAGGAAAATAATTATCTAGCGAGTTAGCAGAATTTTATCATATTTGATATTATATGATTTTTAATATATTAGACTAATGAAAGAGATACAACTTAAAAAAAGATGGAAAAATACTAAAAACTCGTGTTTCAAAAAAGAAGCAAATAAATTTCAAATATCGCTTTCTATGTAACACATAGATAATAATAATTCAACAGATAATAATTTGAATCGTTTAAATAGTAGTTATCCATTAAGTAAAATATCAAAGCAAGAACTCTTGCTTGCCGACGCTTATTTAATTATATATAGTTGAATTAAGGGGTAGGAAATATTACCGACGGGGGTAGTTCGATTGAAACGTACCTATCGACAATGTCTGCTTTATCAGAGAGTTTATACCGTTTGCTGTCCTCTTATCAACGTTATAGCAACGTTTCTTGCCGACATTACGTTGAAGGGTAAAAGGGTTTAAAGCAATGTCGGTAAAACAGATTGCGTGCAAATAGCATAAAATCTCGAGGTGACTTTCAAGTGATAACAGACATGTTGTTTGTACCCATTGATATTTCTTGGTATACATATGTATATTCGTATTGCCCCCATTTAAAAAAAGCACAGTAAAACGCGGTTGCTAATACCATTTTAATTATCACTTACACAAATCTTAAAGATCTACACGCATATTTTATTTATTACTTTCAAAATGGGAATATAATAATTAAATAGATTGCAACACCTGTCGCGGTAGTCAATTAGAAGTGCTTAATAGTACCATTGATGCTTAACTGATTTATTAACCCAACAAACGTTGTGAATTCCATTTTACATTTGCGAATTTTACTTATGTAAAATAACTTTAAAACATATATCTTAAAGACGATATTAAAACATCTTTTAAACATCACATTATACGTCTTAAAGATGTCTTTAAGTTTCTAGTTTATACCTAATACATATATGCTATCTAGGGAATTATTGATAAAAGAGATTTCTTGATATAAACTGAAAAATATATTTAATATTGAAGTATTCTAAAATTTAAAATTCTAATAAGCATAATTTAAGCAAAGGTCTCAACAAAAATTTCTTTAAAAATTTTTAGCTTCATGTGGACGATAAATTAATAAGTATTGTTCTATTTTCAATCTGTTAGCTATTAAATATTTTGTTAAAATTATCGATAAATAAAATAAGATTGAAATACGAATAAGTATATTGCCCGAAATCATATTACCCGAAAGCATAATCATTTCTGTAACATATATAATTATCATCAGATACGATGTCATAAATCAATAAGAAGAATCTTAATTGTTTATTCAAAATTTCATTTTCCTTTTTATAGATTTCCAAGAATTCTCGTAAACTTCCTATTTGTCTACATGTGTTGGTAACTGCTCATACATAATTAAAAAAAACTTCAAATAAGAAAACAGAGAGGGAGAACGATCACTCACATAATATCGCCAAGCTTGAGTCGCGTCTGTATAAGGGCGCAGCTCTTGTGATCGCTGGTGGTGACAGCCCTCCGTCTCCTAGCGGCATATCGGGGCATCGCATCCAACTGCGTCGCGTTTCCATCGGTGTTTCCGAGACCACCGCTGGTCCCGGATGTGGCACCATACCCGATAAGGCCCACACTTCCACGCACCAGCGGATTACTGCCACGCCGACGCGTAGACACGTGCCGACCTCCCACGCCACCCAGCATCCTAAAAAACGTATAAATTAATTAAATTCAAGTACACATTATATATATGATTATGAGATAAAAATCTATAAAGAATCAAAATTTTTTTTCCCTGGTAATCGCAGCTTGAATTCCGAAGTGCGTGAGAAATTACAATCCTTAACTTAAAGATTAATGTACCATTAATAGAGTTCTTAGTTATTATTCTATGTCTCTATATATCATGCTAGCATTCTGTTTCAAAATTCTGTTTTCAGAATTTATACAATTAATAAAGTTTTTGTTCTTCCTCAAAGAATTCTAAAGTTTTTGACATTTTTTTCTCAAAGACACTCATCATTTTTTCTATATAATTAATGCAAGGCCTTTCAGAAAAAAAAATTTGACCGATTAAAATGTAGGAAACTAAATATCGATAATTTACAAAACATCTTTTTGGAAATTTGATAAAATTGTTTAGAAAGTGCCTAAAGATTTTACATCTTTAGATTCTTTATTTTACACTTAATAATCATAACTTTTTTATTTCGAACTTGATTTCTATAAAAAAAAGCTATCAAAAAAATACTAAAATCAAATCAATTCTGAGTAAAATCCTGTTATGACTAATCCTCATACAATGAAAAAGTAAAATTGATACTCTGTATCTTCAGATTCCTATTTTTTACACTCAAGCTCTTTTAAAACAAAGAGATAACGTTATCATAGTATATTTTGTACATAGTGATGTGTCGGAAACGATATCGCAGCAAAAATAAGATAGAAAGAATGACGAATACGTAGCATTCCTGATTAAAAATTACTATTTTATCTGATCTCAATTTCGAAATTAGGGTCGCCGGTCATTAATCAAGACATGATAGTTTACATCAGATTAAAATCAGATGGTACGCATAAATAACATAACGATAAATTGTCCTGGAATCGCCTCTCTCTATTAAAAAAAATTTATAGAGGTGGACTAATGAGGCATGGAAAAAATCCAACGGAGCATTCTTTCGTTAATTAGGTTACGTTGACTGGCTTAATCCTAATCTCTGTTAGCGCATCAGTGGCGTCCAGTAGTCACGCGATCGAGCACTTGTGCCCGTCTATTTTCTGGCACACGTAGTCATTAATAGCCCTTTTTCCCCTTAACGTATCGGTGATGCCTAACTAATTTTCGTCGGATCGATGGCAAAAAGTCAGTCGTATTGAATACGAAGAAAGAGGAAAAAAAAAGAAATCGTTGTTTTCGTCGTGACGGTACAAGTCGATATGGATTTACGCTATTCGTACGTTATACACCTCTCTCGGCAACGTGAAATATTCTATTAATTACCCGCACCCGTATCTTGCATACCTATTGGCTTCCTCATGGCTTTTCAAATGTCATGAGCGTGGATCTCCTTTCCATTTCTACCTTTTCTCTTCATTTCCTGAAAGCGTCTGTCGTGCACACTGAAATGATGGAAAATAAAGCGCCACTGCTATCTAGATATTGCAAAATCCGATTAATCATCGTCCGAACACGTTGAGTTCACTACTCTCAGCGAACCGGAAATGCATAGAATTCACGAATATCTACCGTGTGAATAGAAACGCATCAGAAAAGACGTCGAAGTAATACTTTCGCGGCAATCAGTACCTTGATACATAAAAACGTCCGCAAAATGTGAAAAAAAAAACTTCAGCGAGATGCTACTTTCTTGCGAGTAATATTTCGATAGATATTTTAATAAATATGAGAGAAGCTCGCCTTTATATTCGTTTGTCTTTCATAAATGTTCTAGTAAATAGAGTTCGTGGAATTTTATATCAATATATCAGATTGGTACTGTAAGGGACGATTAAAGCAATAAACGATACTCGATGAAATCAGCCGTAATGAAACGCGGAATTATGAATGAATTGTGTCGTAAATATTTTAAAGTATAATTATTTTGATTACAGAAAAAGTACTGTAAATCATCCGCGTTACATGATCGTCATTGTTCCTAACGGTATCAAATTCAAAACTTTATTACGGCGAAGTTTGTCAAAGTTTCATACCAAACGCATAACACTAAGCTGACGCACGTAAGGTCGATGTATATAAGTACATATTCATGGATAGAGAGCATATTGAGTATATAGTTTACATGTTGCGTGTTATCCAAATGACGGTACAACTCAAAATACTTAGAATACAAAATTATAATTTCGTGGGATGTCACAAAATTTTACGTCAAGATAAATATCGTGATTAAGAAATATTTTAGCAGGCGTGCGTTAAATTAAATTCTTATTAAAATCTTGTTTGAAATTAAACAAGAAAGGAGAGTTTCAGTACTTCAACAAAATAGAGATTTGTGAACGTGACGATCTCCACAATAATCCTACTAAAAGAGTTGTTAATTAGAAAATTTATCATTCAAAGACATTTTATATGTTACAACAGGCCTGTAATAGGGTAAAACCACTAATTGTGGATCACTCTTAAAAAACGAATTCATATTTTTATCTAGAAAAATATCAAACAATTAATAAAATATTTAATAGTCATTATTGATCATAAAGATTACATTATGGATGATTTTATTCCATTTCACTACCGTTTTAGTTACACTATATGTTTTAATTTGAATTAAATAAAGTAATGACAATTATCCATAATTAGACCTCATATACTAATTGCGAATCAATTCACCAAATGCTTCATCCTTTTTGGTGGCGTTACAACAGCCTATAAGGATAATAAAAATGATTTCCACATGCATATCGTAATGTATATAAAAAAATTATAATTGATGAAATTGTGGATAATGGCAATTTCAACACATTTAAGTTTACTTAAAATTAGTGACAATTAAAAATCAATGCTAATTAAAAAAAATTGATAAAAATTAAACGTTTAGCAATAAAAAACAGTTAAATTATAGTAACACTTTTTGCATGTAGACATGTATACTATTTTATATTCTATTTTCATACTTAAAACAAATAAATCTTTTCGGGATAAATCATTTGTAATATTTCACAAGTTTATAAACATTTTTATAATAATATTCTTGAGGCTTTCACGGGTGTTACCTATGTGACAATCTTGCGTTTCGCGGGTTTTCTCCGTGTTCAGATCCATTCTTGGAATGCCAACATTATTGTTATAACATAGTGATTAAACGAACACCCGCGGACACATTTAATCTCAAATGAGTATAACGTTGATTTTTTCCATATAATCTAATGCTATTTACTATCTATAAAAGCCATAAGACAATTCTTATGATATTACACTTTAAATGCATTTTTAATGATACATATGTTGGTTAACTTTGCACATTTAATTAATTAACGACATCAATAAAATGTATAGCGCTGTTCCTAATAAATTAAATTCAATTGACATTTGAAAGAGATAAAACAAATGCTAAAGAATCTTGTGATATGTGCCATTTAATGAAAAATACTATAATTATTTAAATATAAAAAGTGATCCGGAATTAGTGCCTGATCTACATCTAGTGGTTTTACCCTACTCTCTTTTCGTGTGAAATGCGCTCAAAGCTATAATTTTCTGTCGATATTAATTTCTCACAGATTGAATTGTGACGCTAGATATTCGTGGCGTCGACAATTCGCGGGCGTTAACACGCGTCAGTTCTCGCACGGTTATTTGCGCGCACGAATTATTATCCGGTCCGGCTTTATCGAATGAACAAAACAGAATTACAATCCATTATGGACACACCCACGCGCACTACGCGCATCTCAACACGTCGCAACATTGAAATTTCACACGAACATTACTGTTGCGATATTATCGTTCGTGTTCAAAAGTAATCAATTTATAAATTTTTATGCTAATTCTTTCTTTTTGTCTTCTTTTTTTCTCTTTCAAGCTCATAGTACATCCCATGGGGCTTTTATTTCATCCTTCTACTGAATCATCTTCATCTATATATTAGCCATTCATTCATCTATTCTCCACATAAATGAAATAAAAGTCAATACGAAGTCGAGAATAGGTCTGTTGTGTTATCCTATTGTCTCCTGTTGTTATATAATACATCTAGAATAACGTGCATTGATAATACAATCGTATCTCAATAAAAATTTATGAGTTAAAAACAGTTTATACCTTTATATACAATTACAAAGTGGAAAATATATCATTTATGTAATTTTCCACAAAATTAGATTTGATTGAAGTTTTCTGCTCACAAACGATATCCATTTCAAGTAAAATTTTATTTTATTATTCATAACATTGTTTATGTAAACTATTACTATTAAACTGTTATTATTCACTTATTAATACTCGATCATTTACGTAAAATACTACTGTATTATATCAATACTGTATTATATTATTCATTTTGTCTATTTTTATGTAAGTTTGACGAGACCTAGAAAATGAGTTTCGCAATCGCATAAACATAGGCTTGTCCATTCTCCTCCTTCTCCTCCACGTTCTATAACACCATTCACGAGAGCTTTCAAGGCGGATAATGAGAAATCGAAGGCAAAGCATATATCGACGCGCTTACATGAACATTTAGAGAAACATAGTATGCATGTACAGGTTGTAGTAGCTAGTCTTCCCACACACCGCACCGGTCGCGGTGGTCGAAATTTTAGGGTAGCAACCTGTTGCTAGGCACCCCGGGGAACTCTTATCCTACCCTTGCTGTGTTACCCGGCAACCGTTGCCCTACTCTCTTTCTCTTTCTCTCCCTCCTTCCTCTAATGCTTTTAACCCCCATCCTCTGTCTCTCTCTCTCTCTCTCCCCCTCTCTCTCCCCTCCCCCTTTGCACATATGCGCATACTCTTTCTTTGTACATGTGACTCTTTCTTTCATTTTCCTTTTTTAGTATAACAGAACAAATATTGTTCGAGACTCTCTCTCTCGTCAACTCTCGAACAAAATGTCTGTAGAGGATCATTATTTTGGTTTTATTTCATCCCCATCGTCCTTTTCATTTCTCCATTCCCTTTGTCCAGTCTATCTCTTTTCGCCGCAAATATTCCTGTCGTCCTTTTCATTTATCTCAACCGAGCTT